CTTAATGTAGGTGTAGACTATAGCAACGGAAGGGCTTTTTCCATCAGTGTAGGTAACCCATGTTCCCAAATTATAGTAGCTGGACTGATGGAACCATTCTTTCATCAGCCTACCTTCAGCCAAACCAGGGGGTTAGGTCCGCGTAGCTACAGCTCTTAGGCTGTGTCCAGACTCAAGGGTTTTTTCAGAAAAATTAACCTTTTTTCGAAAAAACTTCACTTGTGTCTAGACTACAGCCGCGTTCTTTTGACGGCGGTAAACCAAATTTCACGAGGAAGAAAGCCTTTTTTCGAAAGTGCTCTTTTGAAAAAAGGCGTTCTTGAATGCAAACAGGGCGTTTTCGAAAGAGAGCATCCAGACTGCCTGGGTGCTCTCTTTCGAAAAAGCGGCTTGCTTTTTCGAAAGTACTGGTTGCAGTCTAGATGCTCTTTTTCGAAAGAGGCTTTTTCGAAAGAGGCTTGCAGTCTAGACGTAGCCTTAGAGGCTTGCATTTTTCACACCCCAGAGCGTGGCTAAATTTCTGGACTCCTATAGGTAAAATGTACAATATTCAACAGTTGTCAAGGAAAATCACATGATTTACAAGCTAGCAATATGGCTGGATAGTACCTAGCATAATGGAGCTCTGATCCTTACCTTGACTGGGTTGATTGGCACTATAGTGAAGGCAGATAAGAAATGATACTATGTCTTAATAAATTAGCTGAAACCATTGTATTTCTCTTAGTAGACTCTGCTGTGGCATAATGAAAATGGGGTAGACCAAAAATTGAATGGTATAAGCAATTACATTGCCACAAACTGGAGTTTTAAAGAAAAAGGGTCTTTCAGATGCTGGATGCTCAGTATAGCTTTTTTGTCTTGTGAATGGTGAGTAGGAAAAGTTTGACTCTGCTCTTGGAAAATGTATTGCACATAAATTTGACAACCAGTCCATTCCATGTTTTGATAGGTGATGACTGACTGGTTCCACTGGCATTAAAATAAAGAAATTCTTACCACGATTTTCCATCTGTGCAGCATCTTTATAGATGTTGCCATTTAATAATTTAAGCCCTATGATGGGCACTCTTATTTAAAGAACAGCTTTAATAATAATTATTTATATATCATGAAGTGATTTCTATCTCAAAGTATCTTAGAAAATGTATATATAGCAGTCACTTCACTTATCATCGAAAGAAGAGGAGTAAAAAATGCTGAGGCCAAGATTTTCAAAAATGAGTTTCTGTGGTTTAGTTCTTAAATCAATACTTAGGCATCCAAAGAAGTTGGTATGTTTGCAAAGGTGCTGAGCACACAAAATGTCCATTGATGTCAGCAGAAGATGCAGCTCCTACTGAAGTCTATGGAAGCTGCAGTTGCTTTGAAAAACAGGCATATTATGTAGGTGCTTCAATATGGATTTAGAATCCTTAATTTTAGGTTTTGTTTAAAACAAATCTTGGCTCAAATGTCTAATAGTGCACAGTAATGTTAAACAACTTTTTAAGACAAGAAGTGAACAACTTACCCAAAAAGGGAAAAATGGTACACGGGCAGATTTAATAGCTGGAATTGACCCAGAATACTGATGGGACTAACATTCCTACTAATCTGAAAAATGCCATGGAAACTTTTAGCATTAGAATGATCAAGTCCTATCTGAAGGACTGTAGTTAGACCACATTTAGTGATGGTTTATGGAGTGTAACTACTTTACATTTAAAAGTTAGGCTGAGAGTTTCAAAGGACCTAGGTAAGTTAGGTGCCCAACTCAAATTCCCCTTCAATGGAAGCTGGGCACCTAATTGCCTTAATCTTTCCTTCCATCATTAACCTCTGTTTATTTGTGGTAATTCCAGTGCCAGGGATAGACTTCAGTGCCAAGTTTAAACCCTGATCCAAACTCCCATACAATGTGAAGGTGAATGGAACCTGAGTTTTGGCTCATTCTGTTATGAAGGGAGAAGCCAGGACCCGGTACAAATTTGAATTTAGATCTTCATTTCCCCAAAGTCTGAGTGTTGTTCCTCTTTAGGGATTGGACCGAACTCATCTCTAATTATAGTTATACTTTCATCTCCAATTTGAGTCTTATAGTTTGTGCCATAGCTGATGCTGAATGTTAATTACATCAATGTCTATTTATGGAATGGAGAAATTAGGGAGACCAGGTGACAGAAGTGACAAAAATTTCAGAACACTGAATGATTCAACTTTCTTCCCATCCCCCCTTCCTTTCTCTTCCCTATCCTGCAACTTCCCCCAGTCCATATGCTAGGAGACAGTACAGTTCATGCAAAAGAGTATTGATGTCCTCATTTTCCTCCTTTCCTATTGAGATATCATTACGGGAATGAAAAAGGACGTGAGAGCTTTTGAAAAAAAACGGGTGAATACTCAAGACATTTTATAAAGGGGAAAGAAAATAGGACTCTACAGGGGGTAGAAAGATTCTGAATGTGTGCCTCTTCCGACTTTTCTTTTGCTGGAAACCTGAAGCTGTTGTTCCTATTTCAGCTCTCACTGTCTTTTAGTACTTGACGGCTTTACTGCCCTTGCTCCTGAACCTCAACAGATTGGGGCTTATTTACCTATTCACACTCCTACTGAGGAACCTCATTAATATGCTTATTAGCCACATCATTCTCCTGCTGCAGGGTTAACAAAAAAGATTCCAGCCACTTTGAGAGGGTGGGGGCAGAAGGAGAGGGGGAGATTGTAAGGAGATTATACATCCATTCAGAAGTCTAACTGGTGTGAAAGACTCCCTGGGCCCACTGAGATCACTTGAAGCCTAAATATGATGACAGAATTACTTTAAAAAAATTAAACATGCTTTTGATTTTCTCAGGTTGAGAAGTTTTCCTGTTGTGGACCAGCTTGTAGATTGACTCATTTAGGAGAATAGGGTGCTGTGGGTTCATAGCTGCTTTCTTTACATCTCTCCAAAAAATTCTGAGGTCTGTTTCCAGATATAAAAATAGATGTCCTCTGTCATTTCTAGAGAGATTCTTCCTTTTCATTCTTTCAGGGTATGCAGAGATATTGATGAATGGCGAAACTGCCATTTTCCTTTGTTGGCCAATAATTTATGTGAGAATGTGTTGTTTTCAATGGGCAATGGATATGGTTGGAGCTGGGGAAATTGGATCTTGACTGAGACATCTTGGCTTATCAATTAGATCATTCCAATATCAATCTCCCCTCCCCACGCCCCCAAGTAATGAAGACTTCCCATCAATTACAAACTTGTCCCCTTCCCTTCCATACCTTGTCTTAATGATAGTGACAAGACGAAAGTACTTTCTGGAAGACATGTACTTATGAACATTTGAAAACAAGTTTCAGCTGCTCCAAAATATGTAAAATGAGAACAGAGAGATAATGTGCTGTGGGTTCATGATCTTCAAAGGTCCCATTTACCAGCCTGGACATAGATTAGAAAATGTGCAATAGCGCTGTGTTTAAATAAAGTAATATTTAAATTGATCAGCACTCTAATTTAATTTGAGGCAACACTACATATTGATCTTGTTGTCAAGCTGATCCCACAGAACAAGCACTACAGAGAATCCAGATGAATAACCTTTTTGTTAACAGTATATTAAATTAATCAAGTAGCAATTTCAGATGCTTGAATTATGCACTGTTTAAAATCTGAGAGACCAGGCCAATCACTTCTGCTGATCAAACTCTTTGATCAAACTCTTCTTTTTAGAAATCACGAGTACATTTCTTAAAGGAGCACTGTCAGTGAAAATCACATGCTAATGGTATGTTTTGCACAAGGCTTTGCAAAACCTGAGATGATTATTTATTTTTGTTGTGGTAGCGCACAAAGGTTCCAGTCAGGATTAGGGGCCCATTTTGCCAGAGGCTAGACAAATAGACAGGTAGAGGCAGTTCTTGCCCCCAGAAACTTAATATCCAGTTTTCCATTAATTTTCCTAATTTGTTTTTTGTTTGAATTTAAACATTCCCTGGCCTATTAGCAACCCAAACATTTCACTTTGAGAACCAGAATGTGAAAGGGACAAAAAGTAGGAATGAGATGGGTGTTTTTGTATTACCTTGTTCAAACTCAGTGAATTAAATTCACAACCAACAAAAAAAGTGGGAAAACAGATTTTTTTGCAATTTTCAGTTTTGTCTGAAATATTCTTAAAAACATAAGTAATGATTTGTTTAGTGTTTTTAACGGGTGGTGCTTTAAAGTGTTGAACTTGCACGAGTTGACCGTCATATGCTATATATTTTGCTCCTTTTTGATAATATACCTCAATGCTCAAATTCTTGACATTTAATTTGGCAGTGTTGTCCGAGATTGTTTTTCTCACAAAAAATTAGGGTCCCAGTTCTGCAAAACCCTTCTGCCCATGCTTAGCTTTAAACATATGACGCTTTGAGTAAAGAAGCTGGGCACATGATAAAGTGCGTTGCTGAATCGGGACTTAGCTGGTTAGGTCTGATTTTTATTTCAGCTTTTACCTGTCTTTTACACGCTCCCTTTCCAAGATGGTACATAATCCCAGCCACAGTATAAATTCCGAAGGGTAGCGCCAGTAGAACTCACTACTATTGATCATGCTTCCACTGGAATCTATTGTCACCTTTTCTGTTGGCTTAAGTGGGTCAGGATCAGTCCCCTTAGGAAACAATTAGAATAGTTGAGAGAGTTTTAAAAATACCCTACTGCTATTTTAAGTGCGATCAGTTTCCAGACGTGAAGGGGAGGGGGGCTGCTCCTAAAGTTCCTTTCGGTGCAGAGTTTAAAAAGGGATTTTCTTCCTGCTCATTTATTTGTGCCACTTGGAGGCGTTTTCACGTGAACTGCTCTGAAAGAGAAGCGGGAGGCAGAGAAATCCCCGCTCCGAGTCCCTGTGCATCTGAAGGGGACGTGTCTGCAGTCAAACATTGCCTTGCGCGGCTGTGATTGGCAGAGGGAAGGGGAACTGTCCAGGAAATGGCTCGAGTTTCAGCGAGGGGGGAGTGACCGGGGGTGGGAGGAAGGGGAGCCGGAGGAGTGCGGAGGGGGAGAAAAAAGGTTTGTGTGGACTTGACAAAGCTTTAGAGATTACCACGGCAAATGCTGCATGGAGGGGAGCCGGACCTAGGACTGCCAAGGAAGCCCGGCGCTGCCGCTTTGGTGGATGGAAGTGACTCCCCCTTTGCCCCACGCCTGGATCTCCGCTCCCCCTGCCGCAGTGGAGGGAAGAAAAGGGTTTAAAGCCAGGCGGGTCGCTGTGCAGCCTTGGTGCTGCTTTTTAAACTCTCTCTTCCCCCGGCCACTGGGGTGAGCCTTTGGGGGCTGCTGCGCGCCCGCTCCGCAGCTTGGCGCGGCCCCGAGGTGGCGAGCGCCTGGATGTGGAATAACCGAGGGACGCTTGTTTTTCTTGGGAGAAGTTTCCCCCCCGAGGGAGCCGCGCTCCGGCACTTTGATTCGTCCCGCGCACACGCCTGCTGCCGGGGGGACGCCGGCCGCTCACTCGGAGCCTTTGCAGTCAAGGTAATTGGTCCAGGCTTGGCCGGGCGGTGGAGGAGTGGCAGGGACCCGAGAGGCTCCGGGTGTGTCTCGCATCTCCAGCGTGGGCCTCCCCCCCAGCGCTCGGTGGGCCCCGTCCAGCCTGGCCTGGCACCGGGTGCAGTCGCGTCCCCCCAGGGCTAAAGGCTGCAGTGCCCGCGAAGCGCAGAACCTGCCCAGGCGCTCCGAGCTGGGCGCTCCGTGGGTTCCCAGCCCTGCCTCCGACAGCCCCGTTCCCACCCCCGGCAGTGAACGCGGGTGCCTTTTGGTTTGAGGGACCCGAAGCCAAGCGTCTTAACAAATCTAGTGGGACGCCCCTTCCCCTCAAGAAGAGGCTTGATCTTGCTCGGCGTGAGCGGTTTTGTGCGGCGGCCTTTGGGTTTGGGAGTCCGAGGGAGCGTCCCTCCTGTGTCACTTCTGCTACTACACCTAAAATAAAGGAGATCACCTCACCCCCTGCGCGGCTGCACTTTTGGCCTTTCTTGCATGTGGACTTGCTCACCTTTGCTGTTAATTGCGGTGAAGCCTGACCTACATTAACACTTCTTGGATTTTTCCCCCCCTTACACAGGGTTCGTTCCTAGCAATTGACTGTCATCTTTCTTACCTAATTCACAGCAATCCACTTATTCCTATTCAGTGGTTACAACAGGATCTAAATGGGCAGGCCTATCAGTAAACAGTGATTATGCTGTTAATTAACCCGGAGCTAAACTTTTGGGGGCAAAAATAAATTGAGTCTCCTCACTTGCAGTACAAATAGGGCTCAGTCGTTCAAACACCTAATAAGGTGTTAAGGCTTCTGTGGCATTTTTTAAAACCTATCTGGCCATAGAGGGCCACAGTATAAAATCAACACATGGAATCTTTTAGCAATAGTTGCAACATTCTGTCAGTGGAGAGAAGAATTTTACATGGAGCATACTGAAAACTAAAAATACAGGAGGTTCCTCTGCTAACCATGCATTATTTGGATACTTTTGGGTTTTTTTAAGCTATACATAATTTCCCCCTTTTAATGAAACATATATTTAAATGTAAAACTACCCTTTCAAACAGTGACCTATTATGAGTTTGGTGTGAAACGCTATCAACATTTAGAACCTCATTGTCTCCTTTGTACCAAATCCCTGTAAATCTTCCACTAGCCTTTACTCATTTTAATCTGAAAAGCCTGTTTGAGTTGAATAGACAGCAATCAGGAGCCTCTGTACCTCTCTCCCTCTCTGGAATGTCAATTAAAATGCAGATTTTTTTTTCTGATCTCTTGGTGGCAAAAGACTGGAGGAAAAACAGGATAGTCCAGCAAAGTAAATGAAAGAAGTTCAAACAATGAAGTTCCACCGAAACTGTTAACCAGTTCCCATTAGTTCTCCAAACTAATAGTTGAAATACTCAGCTTTACTTAGATATTGAATTGAGATGTCTTATTATTATACAATATATATGGTTAGCTCAATTATACGGTCATTTTAATTGCACTTAACTGCAACTGAGTTTTAGAAACTTGATTCAGATTTTGGCATCCCTTGATACCCAAGTGTTATGCAGTGTGCAATGTATTGATTTGGAGAACATGCTCTCTGCAATTTGCAATCTCTCTGGGGAGTGATAAACATCATATAAACAACGATGGGACTACAGTAAAAAGAGCTCCGAGAATTGAATTAATCAAAGGCGCTGTTTGAACAAATAGTGAGAGAGTGTGTTTAAAGTTGAACTACAGTTTGGAGGAATTTGGTTGCGCTCCCAACCCAGGTTGTTTTCCCATGCTTGTCAGTTTGGCAAAGAAATTTGGGCAGGTATGTGACGAGGTGAAAATTGACTTGATGAGCGGGTGGCAAGGAGAGCGATCAATCATTGGAGGCTGACAACTCCTCCCCAAAGTGTAGGCTGAGAAGAGAGACAGAGTTCCCTTTCAAGGGGAAAAATAAACACTACGTGTGGCTTTCACTGAGCCTGAGTCTCCAGGAGGGATTATGGTATTGTAGTCAGGAAGCCAGAATTGTGGAGGCCAAAAGCATGCTGGGGCTGTGTTCCAAACATTGAGATAGAGGTACATAATTATCCAGTGTAGGAGGTCTCTCCAAATTCCAAAGAATTGTCCCCCAGCAACAGTGGCAATTAAAATATGAAAAGAATTGGGTTTCGTTTGGGGAGAAAAGGGGAAAGAACAGCTTTGAGATGGGAGATTATTGAACAGCTTTAACATTTTTGGGTACCTTGACTCTGATTTCAGTTTTGCTACTAAATTGTAAGAAAGAGATCGGCTGCATTTTAAACCTGCTTTTGCATCATGGATTAAGAGTGCCTGTTCTCTCCTGGCAAATGTTCAGATGCAGAAACCCTGGTAATACTCAGGTGTGAAGGAGTTTTTACAGAAGCCTACTGTTACTGGACTGAAGAATGTTTATGATGAGAGCAGGAATCGTTTATATACTTTTAAACCTTTTCAGAGATTTAACATAGCCTAAAATTCTTTAATGAGTAAAATGTGACCAGAGTTAAATTATATTCTGGACTTGTTTTAAATACATTTACTATTTTAATGCATAATTTTTTCTTTACTGTATACTGCAGTGATAGTTTCATCGGCTGTTGTTATAGTCTGTTTATATGTCCACTTTAATCAAGTTCAAAGAAGGCTTTATAGGGATTTGTTAAATTACCTTCACAATCATCCCGTTAAGTCATTAAGTATTGCACCCATTTTACACCTGGGTAAACTCACAAAGTATTGGATCAAGTGGCAGAGTTAGGAAAAGAACCCAGATATTTGGGTTCCTCTCTTCTAATTGCTAGACAGTAAGAGACAAAAGTTACTTAAACTGGTTTGCTAAGTCACTCCTGCTTAGTCCTTTTTAAAATATTTGTTCAGACTGTTTTTAAAATGATTCCTTGTAATGTTCTAGTGTTTGTTTCATTGAAGGTTTAATGATGGCTGTTACAATGTTAATAAAAGCTCATGCAATGCTTAAATTTAATGTTACAAAGCTAGATGTGCCTGAGAGAAAGAGAAAAAAAGCCATGACTCAAAACATCCTGTATTAATTAGCAAAAAGTATTTTGCAATTACGTTTTAAAATGTCTAATACATTTAATACATTTCTGTGTCTGGAACCTGAGTTATTCTGTAAAGGAGCAGAAAATATCACATCTTTAAGGTAGCACAGGTTGGTTTTAGGCATTGTATAGCTTCAGCAGAAGACTGGCAAGACTGAATGAGCTCAATAATATTTAATAAAGGATGAATCCTTATGTCAGATTGTTCAAATGGTTCTGAGCCTTTTGTGGATAAATGCTCATCTATGGAGGATGGGAATGGGGAGAAGAGCGTGAGGGAAACATAATGAAAAATTGAATTTTAGGGTTTTTTTTTTTCTTTCACAACTAACACCTCTGAAATTTCAGTTTGGGCACAGATTAGACTAAGATTAGTCATTAGACAGGTCAGACAGATCAGAATTAATGATGCAGTTACTGGATTTATTCATTGCCAGAGGAGTAGTCTTTTTTGTTTTTGTGTGTGTTTGGAGGCGGGAAATGGAGGGAGAAGAGAGAAATTTGTGTCTGATCCAGTTGTTAAGCCACTCTGTTGGTGCTGATATTTTGATTCATGCCTGACACGTCATTGTGGTGGTGGTTACCAGGTTTACTGTGGGAGCTGCAAGTTTCTTTGGCACTACATTTTTTCCAGTACGTTGCTGTTTCATAAAGGGTGCTCTTCATCCTTTTAAGTGGCTAGTTTTAAAAAGATTGAAATAAGGGTTTTTTTTAGGCCTGTGTAACGTCTATTGATACAAATCTATATTCTGTGACAAGGCTGTCTCCCTAGATTTGTCTACATATACGTGTGTTTATATCTTGTGTGTAAGCAAATAGAAATGGCAGATCTTGTGTGATCTCTAGCAGATATGCAATTTTGTGGCAAACATAATTCCGATTTTGATTTTCCAAAACAGTGTCGTTAGTAAGTGCTATTACAAAAAATGGACCATTTTAATTGTTCCAGATCTGCAATTGTCCAAGATTTGCACTGACAGTGAAGTTAGTGCAGAAGAGTGTAAGTATACAGGAGAGTTGGAATCTCAAATATAAAATAAAATATCAAGGAATATCTAAGTAGAAATATAGTATTATTCAATGGAATAATATTGTCATATGAAATATTATTGGTTTGTTTTAAAACGTAGCTTACTCCATTTACTATTTAGATGAGGGACCAAAAAAGCCATGCAAACTCAAACATATGTTTAAACAATAGCTAAAATGGAATTGTATAATTGTTGTAATTTTGTAGCATTAAGGGTTATGCATCTGCACATGTGTGCCTTTAGTATTTCTTAACAAGCTGTATATTTTTCTGTGATTAAAATAGTTCTTTAAATATGTGCTGAGAAACAATTTTGTGAAATCAAGAAGGGCTTGGTTATGCCTGAGGTGGTGATGGAAACTGTTAACAGAAAATGAAAAATCACTCACTTTTCACATGCTTTCAAAGCTGTAAAACTATTTCATTCTCCCCTTCACCCCTTGGGTTTTTGGGAGGATTTTCAAGTGTCATTCAAGATGCTTTCACTGACACTACTAAATTTCTGTCTTCTTCACAGCAGCTGCAACAGTTACAAGTGAGAAGCTTTTTATCAAGGCTGAAGGCACTGCTTCCAGTCCATGCTTGTGTAGAAGTGTGCAGATGGGATTAAATTCCAGATGGATATATGGAAAAGGACCAGGAACTGGCACTAAAAAAATGGTCAGCTGCAGTTCAGTTTGCCTTATATGCCTGGTGGTGGTCACCATGGCTGGACTTTCCTTGGCTCGGCCATCATACAATTTAGTTGTTCAAGACACCACTTTGGAACCTGAAGGTGAGTCACTTTAGAAAAGTTCAGCTTCAAAATACGTTCACGAGAAAGGGGACCTGAAATATAACTACCTTAGTTTATTTATAAACATAGAGAAAGTGTCAGGTTAGTCCAGAAATAGTTTTGTGTATTCTTATTCTCTTTCTTCCAAATATGGGCTCTGATTCAGCAACCATGTATGGTCTTAACTTTATGCAGGTCAGTTGAGTCAGTGACTTCCGTAGGACTTTAGCTTGTCTGTAGTGTAAAGCACGTGAGTATATGGTCCCAGGAATGAGTCTGTGGTTTCCCTTAAGAAAATTGGTCTCCTAGCTGAAGGAACTACTGTGTTTGTACACGAGTTGCATGTTCTGGCCAAATATATATATTGTAGGAGCATAAATAGCTGTCTATTAATTAAGATAATTAAAATAGAATTTAAAAAGTCCCATTTATTTTTCATCATTTGTGCTGATTATGTAATTTTGCAGTTCACTCTGCTTGTAGAATGAAAACTCGTTACTCAGTTTTATTTTTGTTTATCATCAGTTTCCATTTATTGTTTCTAGTGTCCCAGCATAAACTCTGGAGTGTGTGGTTTGCAAATCTCATAGGAGAATGCTTAAATGCAAGATATATACACACAAGTGTTTATTAATTCCTGTGAAAACAAAGACTAATGGGAACATTTCTATTGATAGAATATTTTTATGAAGTTCTTATAAAATCTAATATTTTGGGCTGGTATGTCAAACACTTTAGGGACATTCTTGCACCATATTGCTTTATTTGTTGAATTTTAGGATTTTTTAAAATTAAAACATATTTATTGTATTAAGAATATTTTTGTTAAGCTGTACATAGCATCCTCACTGGCCCCCTAAACAACTTAGTAGGGATGGTTCTTTCTTAATATGATTAATTTGGAATACAGTGTCCTGATACATTTTTAATAACTGAACTGTCAAAACAGTCTTCTCAGAATAATTGTGTATGGACATATCCTATCCCTCAAACATTGTTTATGGGATGTGGCCTCTCTCTGTTATGTTGTTTACATTCAGCAATACAGCTTTGTTTGTCTTTAGTGTATTTTAATGCTGAACTTACTTTTTTCAACCCATCCTATCTAAAATTAGGTTTCACTAGTTAGTGAATTTTTTTTAAAATTCCTAGTACGTTCTTATTGATGACTGAGGTTGAATTATTCAGGTATGATGAGAGCTCTCCCCTACCGAGTATTCATAAAAGTATTGTAATATTGAAGTCTGTCATCAATAGAGATTATTGGTAGCAAAGTACTTTTCCTCATGGTAATATGGGAATTAAAAAAAAAAAAAAGCAATCCAGACTCTCATCACTGTTTAATGAACCTGTTTGTTTATTAGCCCACAAAGTGTTTGCTTGATTCTTGGGAGCATGACAAAATCATCAATGATTCTGGTTTTAAGTCAGCTATTTATGGCAAGCCTTGTGGTTTTAGGGTTAACTCATCAAGAATGTGATTTCATTGCAGGGTAGTACAGGAAGAAGATAAATGTTTTAAGCTTATGTCATCATCATTTTTCAGTTGCATAGGGAAGAAATAACCATTTTTAAAAAAATTTACAATTTAAAATATGCTGCCTCCAAAATGAGTATATACTGGAAGAAATCTGGATCTTATCAGAGTGCAAATTATTGAAAAGAAGTTAACTTTTTTCTCTGGGCACAATGTTACTTCTATAAAACAATTTCAGATGTGAGAACACTGAATTATTACCAGCAAAGAGAAAATGGGCTTTTGAATTAATGGCATAATAACTTTCATGTTAGACTAGAGGGAACCACGTGGGATTATATTGGAGATTTGGGAAATAAAAGCTCCATTTTGCTGATTTCCAGTGTATCTTGACACTTTGATTCAGAGCTCATCTTAGTCTGTTTAGGGAGCAGTCGGCTCTGTGGAGCCCTGATTTTGACTGTGGCCTCTAGTTAGTACTGTAATAATAATTACACAGTAGACTACATCTATCAAAAGTGAGCCGTTTTTTCTTGTAGTTCATGCATATTCACTAAGGGCCTGATCCTGCCAACTCAGGCGCTGGAACAATTTCAATAGTGAGAGGTGCAGAGAGCTATTGAACTAAATTATAAACCCTTTATATGATGGAAACCACTTCAAGCTGGGGTGTGGCAGCATTCCCAGCACCCCTCATTCCAGTACCTATGTCTTCCAATGCTTATTGCCGATTGGAGTGTATCCTCCTGCGAGTAGTCCCAGCAAGAACTAAGAGCATTAGTGTTTGCAGCAGCAGAATGTTAAGGACTTATGTTTTAAACCAGCTTGCATTTGTAGAATTGTACCTAGCGCCAGTTGTTATATTGTTGTCTGGGAGGAGTAGTTCTGAGTGGGGGAAGTAATATAATCTCCACTTTCAAATTATTATGATATTTGCAATAAGTATATTTGACAGCATATAATGGAGTTCTGTCATTGTACGTTCACACTATTCAGTCCTTTGATTGCAGCCAGCACTGAAAATGCTGGGGGGTGAGGGGCAGCTGACCGCACACATAAGGTTACTTTGTGAACTGAATAATTAGTTTAGACACACATTTGATAAAGGACAAACTAACCCTTGACCTTCCCTCACCCTAGTTGTCTGTTATGAAGATTGCTGGCTAACTAATTTAGTCCCCTCTGTGTAGGACTTTGACTCTGTGCTCTGTATACCCAGACTCCTTTCCTTTTCCCCACAAATTCAAGAACAATTGTTTTTAATTTAGCTGTGCTTTTAAAGCCCTACTTTCAACTCCATATAAGGCATGGCCTAATTCCAAGCCCGGTGAAAAACACAATAGTTTAAAATTAGTCTTAAATGTGTACTCAAGAGAGTCAAACGAGTAGCAGAGTATGCAATGTCTTCAGATATCTCTCACCCTGGGAGAGATGTATGCTTCTGTTTGACACACAAGGGGCTAATAATTTGTCATTTGATACTTAACTTAGTAACAGGTATTTATTGATAGTAAATGAATGTAAACACTAGCTGGTGCAAGTAAATATCCAAAGCAGTTCATTAATGTCTGTTTTTTATAATCCACCAGCAAAGAACTGTGTTTAATATTAATGTCACTTGATTAATACAATCCAGTCACAATTAAATCAAGAAACACAATCCAATCTAACTCAGAATTCAAAAATAAAAAGTGAATTGAATTCCCTGTTATGCCGATTGTGAGGGGCATCCAGCAGAACAACATATTTTAATGTAACTTTTGTTTTTTTCCCTTTGTGGAATCCTCTTACTCTGCTCAGATTTGCAGGAGGTGTTCCAGAATGCCTGAATTTGTGACAGTTCAAATACTGTACTATTAAGGGGTAGCCGTGTTAGTCTGTAATTTTAAAAGCAATGATTAGTTCTGTGTCATCTTAAAAATAACTCGTAGTCCTGTGGCACCTTAGAGACTAGCACAAATATATAGGATCTTGAGCTTGAGGTTTTGCCCACGAAAACTCATGATACTAATGTATATATTTGTTAGTCACTAAGGTGCCACAGGACTACTCATTGTTTTTACAAATATAGGGTGGACCTCCCTGGTCTAGTTCCCTGGGGACCTGAGTGGTCCTGAAGAAGGGATTTTGCTGGACTGGGAAGGTCATTTCTGCCCCACTGACACCGGTCCCCAAGCCCTGCACTGCTCCTGGCTTGTCCTTCTGGTTGGCTCCCCACGTGTGACCAGCCCTGCTGACCTGCCATGGCAGCCACGGTCCTGCTGCTGGGGCGCTCAGCTTCTCCGCAGCAAACCACCGCCCTGCTGCCAGTGCTTCCAGTCTTTCCTGCCCTGTCGTGGCAGCATCGGCCCCACTGCCATCCCACAGTGGGATTCTCTCCTCTCTCCCAGCAGGAGACAGCTGCTCAGCTACTGGGGTTCTTGACTCTGTCAGCCCTACTGTGGCAGCAGTGGCCCCAGGGCCGGCCCTGCTGCAGCCGTCCTGTGGTCCCACTGCCAGGGCTCCTGGCCCCATCGCAGCAGACTGCTGCCTGCACTGGTGGAGCCTTTTGGCATTCTGGCCGCCCTGCCACGGGCTTAGCTGGACGCCTGCGGCCAGGCTCCCAGCTGCTCGCCTCCCTGCAGCCAGCCTGGCTGGGTTCCTGGCCCCCGCAGGGCTGCTGCCTCTGACCCTCTGCCGGGTCTCTTTGGTCTGGCAACATCCATGGTTCTGACAGATGCTGCAAAGATTCTCTTGGTGTGAGTCAAGTCACAGAATGATGCAGTTTGGGATGCTTTTTTACCCAGGGAGATAATGAGGGTTTCAGAGGGAAGACAATAAATTCCAATTTGCCTTTTAAAACTACATGCCCTTCCCCTTGCCTGACAGGGGCACACAAATCTCTGTTTTAAACTCAGTTTTCATTTGAGTTGTGCAAGATGTAACTGTACCATGTTAGAGGAAAAACTGCAGCTATTTCACTCAGCCCCTTGGTGTGAAAGCTCACCAGGTAAGAAGCACTCCGTAAATAAGAGACAAACAACAATTGGGGTTTCTGAGACTAGTGTGGAAATGGCCATGTTGTGTTTATTTGACTTCTTTTAAAACGCTCACAGCCATGAAAAAGAGCTCCAATATCTGCAGAACAGGTTTAATTTTTAAATATATGCCATTAACTCTGACTTCTGTTCACACAATCCTAACAAATGGTATCATGGCCATTTACACTGGGCTCCTGTACTAGAGTTGCATGAAAGTCTCACACTTCTCTAATCACTGTGGGTTATGTTGTTCTGGAGAGACAGGCACCCTGGAATCTAGTAAGCCATTCTTCAATTTCCCCAATTATCACCTGTAATACCATTAACTCACAAACATCCCACTCTCCCTACCTTTAATATCAGCAATTCACAGACACTTACCTTCCTTCCTCCCCCTTCCCACCCCTCCACCCTCCCCGCATCCCCCTTCTGTTCTGCAATGTGATTTGTCCTTTTCATATTTGTTCATTTTTTTAATTGTATCCTTTGGTATATATGGTTGT